ACCCACATGGTGGCTCATAACCATCTGTAATGAGATCTGGCACCCTCTTCTGTATACATAATAAATAAATAAACCTTAAAAATATAAAAAATATTCACAATAAACAAATATTCCACAGCATAGAAGAATGTAACACATTTTAAACTAATATCCCACAGCAAGGGTTTTTCTGTATAGCCCTGGCTGTCCTGCAACTTGCTCTGTAGACCAGGCTGCCCCCAAACTCAGAGGTCCGCCTGTCTCTGCCTCTCAAGTGCTGGGATTAAAGGCGTGCGCCACCATGACCCACCTGACCCTTCTCTTTTAAAATCATTTCCTACAAGTGTTTCATCCACTTGTCTGGTTGATGATAGAACCTGCTTTGACAACATGATTGGCACTGGCCACAGGTAGTAATCAAGGTAGCGATTTTTAAGTTTCATGAGGAAGAATGGTCTATTGATAGCATAGGATATGGGAATCCTAGCAAAGGAACAATAGTCAAGCAGATTATTTAATATCTCTGAGAAGAAGCTCAGCTAGAGCTGAACCTGAATCCCTCAGGAAGGTGACAAGAGAAGAGAGAATTCTAAGTGGAGAGATCTGGTGACTAAAGTCCCAGAAGTCAGAGTGAGTCGACTCTGTGTGTGTGATAGAGAGCACACTAAGTGGACTTGGTTGTATTTAGATTGAGGAATTCTAGCAGGAAGGTTAGTATTGAGGTTGACCAAATGATGGCGAATATGTGAACTCCATGCTGAGGAGCTTGTTTGTCAGCCATGGGTATAGTTCTACTGTAAGGAGTTCCCCTGCCTTTTCTTAAATCTGCTTATCATTGAAATTCACTCATTCCAGTACCGTTCAAGTTTGGTAGCATTGCTGAGGCATTTGTCGAATAGGTATTTTTATAAAGCTGTCTAGAGATAATGCTTATTTCTTCCTAGAACAGGGCCGGCCAATGGCTAGGTTCTCCTGCATGCCTCCGAGTTGAGAGACTGTACAATAGAGTCAAATATGTTTCCACAAGCATATTATTTAAGAAGCAGCATAAATATTTAATCACAAAATCTAAAAGTTAAATCCTACATAATTAAAAACAAATTATATAGCTAGATATGAAGAAATGTTAAACTCAATTTAAGTATGGGAGTCTCTTGCTATCTCTGTGTTATCAATAATTCTTTCTCTTTTATTTTCTGTCTTTCTGTACCTAGAGGAGGAACCAGTTCTTTCTAGAAAGTGTTTTCTGGCTTTGAAAGTCCCAGGGGCTTGCCTAGTCAGAGTCTTTCAGCACGAGAAACCTTTTGACATTTGAGTATTTAAAAATCTTTTATGGTACTTTTATGGTACTTTCCAGTTCTTGTTTGCTAATGTGGTTCAAATTGTTGCTTCTTTTTAAAAATTTTGTTTATTTTTATTTTATGTATATGAGTGATTCCTTGCGTGTGTGTGTGTGTGTGTGTGTGTGTGTGTGTGTGTGTGTGTGTTTATGTATGTGTGCACCCTCAGAAGCTAGAAGAGGGTGTTAAGATGCCCTGGAATTGGAGTCACAGACAGTTGTGAGCCACCATGTGAATCATGGGAACAGAGTCCGAGTCCTCTGCAAGTGCTCTTAACCACTGAGCCATCTTCCCAGCCCCTGGGGATCCTTTGCTAGTTGCTAATCTCAGAAAAAGCCTAACAACTCCTCTCCTTTGTAGTCCCCTCATGTCACCAAGGTAACTCTGGTAACATGTTTTTTTAGTATGTCTACATTGAGATCAGTTCTCTCTCTCTCTCTCTCTCTCTCTCTCTCTCTCTCATAGCTTTGGAAAGCCTTTCTGATCAAAATTTAGTTCTTTTCTGGTATTCTATCATGTTGGTATCATGTCCCACCCTCCATCTCAGGGATCAAATCATTGTTTGACTTGGTACAGCCTGACCTCTAACTGTGATCTCAGTAATGATATCCATCCTAGATAAATGACATCTTGGGAAAGGGATATGCTAGAGTAGTTTCCTTTGGCTTCTTTTAGGGTCTGGGACGTAATTCAGTAGATGAAGGGGTTGCTCTGCAAGTAAGTGTGAGGCCCCGGATTCTGTTCCTAGTCCCTACGTTAAAAACAAGCAAGCAAACACCAAAACCAGGTGTGGTAGGTAGCATGTGTTTGTAATCCCAGCTCTGGGACACTGAGACAAGCGATTCTCTGGGGCTTGCTGGTCAGCCAGCCTAACTGGAGCATCAGGCCTCAGGAGCCCAGTGAGAGACCTTGTTTCCAAAAAACAAGGTGTCTGACTCCTAAAGAGCAACAGCTGAGGTTAACCTCTGGCCTCTGTGTGTACCTGTGCAAATACACACACACACACACACACACACACAAACACACACACACACACACACACACACACACACACACACACACGGGAAAAGATACTTGATTCTCTATGGTGGTCTCTTTACTTACATCTAATGGATTAACTTCAAGTTAATTTAGTATCTCAACTCTCTGAAAATATTTCCATCGTTAAGCTAGAGAATACTAAAAGGCATACTCTAACTATGTAAGTACAAATGTTAAAGGCTTACCGTTCTTCCAAATGAGCATCTACCAAGCATAGAGTGCTTGGGATACCATAGAAGAGACACATTTCTTTTTCACTTGGTATCTCAGGGACACTTTCTTGCGGGAAAGGAAGGTTCTTGAGCTTTGTCCAGAGGACATTATTGGTAGACCTGAGTGCTCAGAGGTTCTAGGACTTCCGTGTTCTTTGTAGAATTTTGGGAGCAAAGAATGATGTCTTCTTCGTGATACTCTTTAAGAAGTTAAAGTAGTACTGACCCAGAATGAGTCAGAACACAGGTATGCAGCAGCCACACTAGCTGTTAGGCCTGTAAGACTTGATTGTAGTTTGTTGGAATGTGAAAACCGAGTCTGTCAAAATAGACCAGAGGTTCATTAGCCCTGCTGAGAGGAGACAGTCAGTGAGCAGCCGTTGGTAGTCAGCCTCTGGAGTGGTATAGTTTCTCACAATGTAAAAATAAACGGCATTTTAAATGATTGCTTCAGTTCTGTGGGCATTTCAGGACTGGTATAGAAATACAAGAGAAGTTGGTGATTCAATGTATTGTTTTTGTTTTTGAGACAGAATGTCACTCTGTTGCTCATGCTGGCCTGGAACTCTCTTTGTAATACAGGCTGGCCTTGAGTTTATAGCAATCCTCTTGTCGAAGCCTCCTGAGTGCTGGGATTATGGATGTGAACCACCATGCCCAGCTGGTGATTCAAATGTTTAATAAGGAAAAGAAAACCTGAATGTCTCCCAGTTCTAACAAATTCTTGTTTACAAGGCCTTCAGAGCAAAAGGCCAATGCGCCTGACCCCCCCCCTTTATGGATGATTCTCCTACCCTCTCCCTGTCAATCATTCATTTTATCTATGGATGATTCTCCTACCCTATTCCCATCACTCATTTTATCTATGGATTTTACTTGTCTGCCTTTACTCATCCACTTTTCTAAAATTGCTCAGAAAATGCACAAAAGATTAGTTTTTTAGTGATAGAAAGGATTATAATTCAGGATCCATTCTTTGCTAGTATTTACATGATATAAAATAGTTATGATAAAGTTTCCTGAAGAAATCTTCACTGTTTCCTATGATCGCCATGAAAAGAGGAAAGAGCAATCATCTAATAATGGAAAGGAAGATAATGTGTAATAATTGGGGGCCCAGGAGGTCAAGTGTGACACATCATCTCCTTGTGTTTTCCTTGTCCACTTTGACCAGTACATCCAGGGCCTGCATTCAGTTGCACTTGGTTTTGAGTTTTTATTGCTTCAAAGCTGTGGAGAGAAGATGCTAGGGATTAAGAGGGACCTGGAAGATGATGGGGCAGCAGTTTTCTGACTTTTCCGGTGAAGTTCGTCAAGTAGTCTAGGAGAACGAGTGACTTCAGTGCACCCCTAAAACCTTTTTTGTTTTAACGTTCACTTACAAATCACAGAGGGGGAAAATTTCATGGTTTGCCTGGGGATGTAGCTCAGTTGGTAGAGTTTCTGTCTGGCATAAGAAAGCTCTGGGTTCGAGCCCTAGCTCTGCATAAAATCAGAGCTGGCAGCACACACCTGTAATGTCGGCACTTGGGAGGTGGTGGCAGGAGGCTCCCAAGTCGGTTCTGCTCAGCTCCAAAGTGAGTTTCTGTTCTTCCCTGTAGCACTTGTGCATGTTTGAAGTGCCCTCTGGCCTTCACTGTGCTCTGCTTAGTACTTGGGAATACAGGGAAGAAGAAGCAGGGTTGGCCTGGGTTTATATCATAAAAGATTTCTGATTTGGGGCAGGGGAGATGGCTCAGTGGTAAGGGGCACTTTCTACTCCTCTAGTGGACCCAGGTTTGATTCCCAGCACCTACGTGGCGGCTCACAGCCAACTGTAGCTCCAGTCTCAGGGGATCCAGTGCCCTCTCTGGCCTTCACCATTACCAGGCATGACTCAGTCACAGACATACATGTAGGCAAAACATCCATACACATGAAAATAAAGTTTTGAAAAAGATTTCTGATTGTGGAAGGGTGTCTCATCTTTTGCCTATGTATTATCATTATTCAAAAGTGGTTCTTTTGTCTTGTTTTTTGAGACAGGGTCTTTTTTTTTTTTTTTTTTTTTTTTTTTTTTGAGTAGTTCCTGGCTGTCCTGGAACTAGCTCTGTAGACCAGGCTAACCTGGAACTCAGAGATCCACCTGCCTCTGCCTTCCGAGTGCTGGGATTTAAAGGTGCATGCCACCTTCACCCAGCTCAGAAATGGATCTTAATGGGTTGCACTCCTAAAATCACAAATAGCCATGTAAGTGTGAGGGTTTGAGTCTTTATAACTCTAATGCTCTCAGAGTGGAGCCTTATGTTGACGTGAAAAATTAATAGAGGAGAGAATGTCAGGATGTAGGGCAAGAGACTTTTTTGTTGTTGTTGTTGTTGTTGTTGTTTTGGCATGGATGGTCTGGATCAGGTACAGCAAACTTAACTAACCATTGGTATGATTTCAGGAGGGAGCATTGGCAGTTGCTGGGTAATCTGAAGACTACTGTGGAGGGTTTGGTGTCAGCCAACTGTCCCAATGTCTGGTCCAAGTATGGTGGCCTGGAGCGACTTTGCAGGGACATGCAGAGCATTCTGTATCACGGGCTCATCCATGACCAGGTATGTAGAATTCACTTTCCCCCATCTAATTGGCTGGAGCACTTGGAAAACAGTTGCGTTAAGTTGGTTGGCTGAGAAAAGAGGAAGCCCGCCAGTTTGTGTGAGTTCTTGAGTACAGAACCGGGGCCATGTGTGCATGCATCTGTCTTTCTTCCCTCTCTCTCTCTCTTGCGTCCAGATCATCTCACTTAGTGCCTGATATGGCATAGATGTCAGAGGAATGAGTAACCTGCACGTCAGCAAGAGGTCAGGTTGGTTTGTTTCCTGTAGATTCTGTAACAAAGATGACTTCACTGGCTAGTTACAGATGGGTTATCTTTCAGCCCTTGAGTTCAGAATTCTCAAATAAGTTTCATTAGGCTCAAACCAGGGTGGCCACTATGCTGCTGTCCTCCAGGAAGGGCTAAAAGTTTCGTCCCTCCTTGTCTTTTTCAGCTTCTGGCTGTGCCCCTCAAGTTCTTCAGCTGATGGTCCCTACTTTTTAAAAACCAGTAACATAATGTCTTGAAATTTATGTCCGCTTTTATATCACGTTTCCTTTCTATGAGCTCTGTTTAATCTCTCCCAAAGAACCCTTGTAATGACATGGGTCCCACCTGGATGACCCTTGAGGAGACACCTCAAGATTATTAAATTAGTCACATCTGAAAAGACCCTTTGGCCATAAAAGGTAACAGTCACAAGTCCTTCTCTACATTCTAGAGCCTTGAATATGGGCGTCTTAGAAGACATTTGTTTTTTTTGTTTGTTTGTTTTGTTTTCAAGACAGGGTTTCTCTGTGTAGCCAGCTCTGGCTGTCCTGGAACTCACTTTGTAGACCAGGCTGGTCTTGAACTCACAGAGATCCACCTGCCTCTGCCTCTTAAGTGCTGAAATTAAAGGCATTTGCCATCACCACTGCCCAACTTTTTTTTAAAGTAACTTTTTTTTAAAATTTTATTTACATTTATATTTATGGGTGTTTTGCCTGAATGTATGTCTGTATGCTGCAGGCATGCTTGGTGCCCTCAGAGACCAGAGGAGAGCTTTGAATTACCTGGGACTGGAGTTACAGATGCTTGCAAGCCAACATGTGGATGCTGGGATTAAACCCAGGTCCTCTGGAAAAGCAACCAATGCTCTTAACCACTGAGCCGTCTCTGCAGCCCCTAGAAGACCATTTTTATCATCAACCACAATCAGGAAGATTTTCCTCTCTTTAATTTTAGTCTCATTTTAGCACAATTGCTGCATATGCAGGGCTCCGGGTTCAAGCCCCAAAACTGAAGTCACTCCCTTGCTCAGTTAACCAGTAAACAGAAAAACCATACTCTCTCTCCAAGCCCCGCCTCCCCCATGTGGCATAAAGGAAGACTAAGCCAATGTAAAACACATTCAGTCTCTTTCATCCAGGAAATGTTTCTTCTGAGTAAGAAGCTGAAACTCCATGTGGTCAATTATTCTGTACTTGGAAGGTTTGGCCCAGAGACCGGTGTGTGCTGTGGAGATAGTCACTTAGGCGTGATGAGTTTGCTGTAATTAGAGTTAATGTTTCTTGTTTGAGCCAAAACCATCCTTTCTTCCTCTGACTCTGGATTTCCTTAAATTTAGACTTCTGTGGTTACTTTAAGTTAGTAACAGGGTAAAAGAATTGTATACTATCCTGGCAGGGCTAGCAGGAATCCATACTTGAGATAACTAGAAAGCTTTCGCAGCTATGGAAGGGCTAGTGAAAACAGGAAGACGGCGTGAGTGTCAGGGGAGATGACTGAGTTGTTTGTATTTCCTCTTTGGAAGCATCCCAGGACACATCTGAGAAATAATCGAAAAGTTTCAGAATGTATTTTGAGCATTACTTTGTAGACAGCTGTGTGATGTTTCTGAATGATAGGGTTCTTTTTTAAGATTTAATTATTTTTTATGTGTACAGGCATGTTGCCTGCATGTATGTGCAGTGCACACACAGGCTAGGAGATGGCCGCCGCTCTCACCTTGTTATTTTCTTTGTTATTTTTGTCATTTAAAATTTTCGTCGTAGTTTTTAGCATACATTTTATTTGTTCTTTGACAGTTTTTCCGTATATACAGTGTATCTTGATCATATCCACCAATGGCTTGCCAATCTCATCTCCCTCTATCTGGATACCCCCCCCCCATCTTCATGTCCTCTCCATCTTTGATAGTTTGTTTCTATGCCCCATGGGGTCCAGTTGGTGCTGCCTGCTGCGATGTTGACTGGTCTTGTTGGCCCGACCCTGTGCAGGCCACTGCCGCTGCAGCGAGCTCCTGAGTGCATCCGTCCTGTCCAGACCACAGTGCCTCACCGCGCCTCTCCATCCTCTGGTTCTTCATCCTCCTACCTCCTCTCCGTCAGTGTTTCTCAGCATGGGGCAGTGAGAGGAGCGTGTTGACAGAGATGTCCTGTTTAGGACTGTGTCTCAGCTCTCAGCCCAGGAGAAACCCTGGGCTCCACTCTCCTAGCCCAGAGTTCTCTCGAACCTTAGGCCCAGAGAATCCACAGATGTTTCTTCAGGGATAGCCTTTAGCTATCTTAAGTTCCTACGTCCAAAGCAGAGCTGGACAAAATACTTACGGAATGATGGGAATCCCAGTCTCTGGCCAGCCAACCTAACCTGTTTGACCAGTTCAAGGCCAGTGAGAAACTGTGTCTCAAAAAATAAGGTGGACAGCACTTGATGAGTGACACACAAGGCTGTTTTCTGACCTCATGCATGTATGCCTGCACACATATGTGCTCCTGCACATATACAAATTCAGACTTCACTAGTCCACACATAATTGAGTGTCCTTAAATACTCATCTGCCCATGCCAGGGATTAATATTCTTCCCAGGAAGTGTAGCAGGCTTTTTCAGACCTCCACCAGCTTCTAAATCGTGACACGGAGACTTATTATTAGTTATGAATGCTCAGCCTTATCTTAGGCTTGTGCCACTGGCTCTCATAACGTAACCTGTGTTTTGCCCTGGGGAGTTTTTCCTTTCTTTCATTCTGTATGTCCTACTTCCTGTTTCCTCCTTGTCTGGCTGGCTGGCTCCTGGCATCTTTCTCCCTCCTTCTCTCTCTCCGGAGCCTAGATTCCTCTTCCTACTGATTCTCTCTGTCCATCAGCCCTGCCTATCCCTCTACTGCCTAGCTATTGGCCGTTCAGCTTTTTATTAGACCGATGAGGTGCCTTAGGCAGGCAAAGTAACACATCTTTACATGATCAAACAAATATTCTGCAGCGTAAACACATCTTTGCCCAGTTCAGTCTTCCACAACAAGGAAGTCCTTTTTCACCAGAGCTAAGTTTCTCTTTTCTTTTTTATCTGAATTTATTTTCTGCTAGCAATCACACTGGAAAATATCTGATCAACTAATTTTAATAAAGTGCATCAAAGGACTTATGTTGCCCTCCATTCTAAAAACAGGGGTCTGTTACCTCTGAACAGCGGCTTTGGTTCAAATAGTCTTAGAATTCACTAGAGAAGTTGACTTAATAATTCTGAAGGTGAAGCTGTATTTCTTAAAGGACTTTGAAGACCCCCACCCAAACTTAGGCTTTAAAGAACTTTAAACAAATATCTGTCTAGGAATTTGGAGGCAAAATAATATGATAGACTGGCAAACACCATTAGAATCACAGAAAAACTAGATCAAAGTCTAGGCTCAGTGTGCAGGTTCTTGGGAAACAAAGTGACATAGTGATTTAAATTATGAACATTGACTCATACTGCCCACATTTTATTCACACTTCAACATGGTTAATATTAGGTGAGTTACAGAGCCCCTTGTACAAGCTTCTGTTTCTCATTTTTGAAATGAGATAACACTGTTGCCTACCCCTCTGCTGTGAGAATTCTGATGTAAAGCACCAGAAGACACAGTTGTCTGTCAGCCTCAGCTGTCACAGAACATGGCTTAACTTCTTTCTCATCTGTAGAAATAAGGGGAACGGCATTTACCTTTTAAAGCTCATCTATAGAATAAATGAAGTGGCATATAAATGTGTCCGGCACAGCTTGTGGCATATAAACAGTGAGATGGTCGGCAGGTAAAGGCATATGCCACCACGCCTTACAACCCAAGTTGAACTCCTGAGACACACTGGACGGAAGGAGAGAACTAACTGCCACACGTGGTCCTCTGCCCTCCACAGATACCACAGCAGGTGTGCAAAACACACAAAACTAATAATAAAACATGAAAAGAATTCATTAATAGATTGGTTTCCTATCGCATGTTGTCCTGTATATAATTAAGAACATTGAAAATTTGAAAACAACTTAATTCACTGAAATCTTAATATATTCTTTACCACTGGTGACCTTGCAGTACTGTTTAAGAGAATGATATCCATGTTATCTAATTCAAGGACCAATTCTCCTTTGACTACCTAACTTCAGTACTGTTGGCCACCATCATTTCTTGATGGCACGGAAGCATTGTCCTACATGTGATTGGTCTTCAGTTTCTACCCCTGGAACTTCTTCTTGGATTAAACATTTTAAAATGAAATGTCATTTATTTATTTGGGGGGTACATGCATGTGAAGATCAGAAGCCAGCTTGCAGGAGTCCATTCTCTCCTTCCACCACGTGGGTCCTAGGGATTAAACTCAGGGCATTAGGCTTGGCAGGTACCTTACCTCCTTTGCCCCTTACAGATCTTTAAAATGGATTTTTAGAAATGGAGTCACTGTGTGTTCGTGTGTCCTTACTCTGTTTTCTTGAAGCGGTCTCAATCTCAGCCATGCGTCTGTGACCCTCAGCTCAGACCTCCGTACCCAGTTCTAGACCAGCCATCTCCTCTCTATTATCATTTGGCTCTCCCTCCTGCCCAACAGGCATGGCCGAAGCTAAGTATATTTTCTCCCAGGAGATTGCCTTTCATCTTGGTGTTCTTTATGCTAATTTGTAGTATTGAACTACCCAGTGTTCTGCTCAGAAATTTGGGATTTGTGCCAAAACGTTTTGTTAAAAACAAAGTGCCAGTTTCCCAGGCTGGTGACCAAAATAGCTGCCCGATAAGCAGTGCCACCATTCAGTGGTTCAAGTGTCGCATCTTGATAACAAAAGGTCTTTTCTTGGCCCTGTTGCTGATTTTACATCGTCACATAGTAACCTAACCAGATTCCACAATAGTTTCACCATCTGTATGTACCACAAAAGGAGAAATGTTGATGAGATTCTCACATAAAACAAGCTCGCAAATGCAAAATGCTATAACATATCTTGTCAGAGTTCTCAGGAAGCAGTAACGTCTGTGAAGGCACCCATTCATCACAATGAAAAACGTTCAAGAATGTGTGTGACCACTTACAAAACCAGCTAGTGCCAGGAAATGGAAGCAGGGACAACCACTTGACACACAGACACACACAGCATGTAGAGGCACATAGCACATAGAGGCTCTAATAGGAAAAAACCCAGAAACAAGCTCCATGTCAGTTTTCTTGCTGCTCTGTGACTTGTTATGGTCTAAGAATTCAAGTCGATGTCAGAATTGTTTTCTCCCTGTTCTTTCCTTTCAAAAAGCTTAGTGCTTTCAAAGGTTTCAGGCTGCTGTGTCATCAGCAAGCTATTCTGGGTGCTGTGTCCTTGGAAAGGGGAAGGGACACGATGATTCACGTTGGTCATGTCCCCCCTTTGTTTTCACAAGGATGTGGTACGGATCCGAGTTGTGTTTTGTCTTAATCACTCGGGGCCCCCTGGGAAGCTTTGACGTCATGACTATTTCTTAGAGGGATCTCGTTTTTGTCAGCCTGTGTCTGGGATACCTTTCACTCCTTTTGTAAGGCAAGGTATAACAATGCCATCTCTCTCTGTTCTGCTGCCTAGAAATCTAGAGACAGCTCCCGAGATGGCTTAACTGAGTAGGAGTAAAAGGATCCCTTCCCTACCTCCAAGAAGAAACTGTGCTTAGCAATATAGACACAATAAAAATTTTTAATGATTTATTTTTAACATGTATGAGTATATTGTCTACATGTTGTATACATGTGTACCATGTGTATGCCTGGTACCCATGGAAGCCAGAAGAGGGCCTTGGATACCCTGGAACTGGAGTTTCTGGCAATTGTGAGCCGCCATGTGGGTTCTGGAAACCAAACCCAGGTCCTCTATAAGAGCAGCCTGTGCTCTTAACCTCAGAGCCGTCTCTCCAGCCCCAAGGTAGCCTGATTTTGTTTGTTTGTTTGTTGTTTTTTTGAGACAGAGTTCCTCTGTGTATCCCTGGCTGACCTGGAACTTGATCTGTAGACCAGGCTGGCCTTGAACTCAGAGATCCACCTGCCTCTCTACCTCCTGAGTGCTAGGATGAAGGGCATGGGCCACCACTGCCTGGCCATGATTTTTAAAGTAATAATAATAAAAAAAGCTATGGGCTTTAAAAAATATGCATAATATACTCTTATTTGTTGAAACTTTGACATATGTTAAAAAGACTCAGAAAAATAAATACCACCCATAATCTTAATACCAAGTAATAATATCTACTGTAGTAATAATATCTACTATTTAGCATCCTGTTGGATGTTATTTTTTCTTTTATTTTTCTTTATATTTAAATTCTTATATTTAAATTATATATTTATATATTACATATAAATATATATTTATATATTAATTCTTATATTTATTATATAAAAGGCATAAAAAAGCCTTTTAAAGTAGTTAAGATTGTACCATATGTATCAGTAGATAAGTTACTTTAAAATGTTTAATTTTTGAGTAGATAATACACTTTACATGGTTACATGGCTAAAACATTTTGAGTATCAAACCATATGGTGGGCCAGGTGGTGGTTGTGCACGCCTTTAATCCCAGCACTTGGGAGGCAGAGGCAGGCAGATCTCTGTGAGTTCGAGGCCAGCCTGGTCTACAGAGTGAGATCGAGGACAGGCGCAAAGCTACACATAGAAACCCTGTCTTGAAAAACAAACAAACAAACAAACAAAAAAACCCATATGGTGGAAAGTCTTTGATTGTCTTCTGATCACATAAGTTACTACTTTTTACTAGCTTCCATCCAGAGAATGTATACTTATGACAGTAAGTACAAATAACTTCTTGTTATTCATCCTCAGTTTTGTTTTGGTTTTGTGTCTTTGAGACAGGTCTTGCTGTGTAGCCCAGGTTAACCTCCAACTTGAGATCCTCCTGTCTCTGTCCCCTTGTGCTACCTTTATAGGAATGGGACACTGCACTCAGCTCCTGGTTTTTATTATGTGTGTGAGTGTGTGCGTGTGTGTGTGTGTGTGTGTGTGTGTGTGAGAATGTGTGTGTGAGTGTGTGCATGTGTGTGTGTGTGTGAGTGTGTGTGTGAGTGTGTGTGTGTGAGTGTGTGTGTGTGTGTGTGAGTGTGTGTGTGTGTGAGTGTGTGCATGTGTGTGTGTGTGTGAGTGTGTGCGTGTGTGTGTGTGTGTGTGTGAGTGTGTGTGTGTGAGTGTGTGCGTGTGTGTGTGTGTGTGTGTGTGTGTGTGAGAATGTGTGTGTGAGTGTGTGCATACACATTGAACATGTGTATATGACTTAAAACAACAACTCAAGGGCCAACAAGATGTCTCAGTGAATAAAAGTGCTTGCTGCCAAGCCTAACAGCCCGAGGGACCAACATGGTAGAAGCAGAGAGCAAACGCCCCAGTTATCCTGTGACCTCTACACGTACACTGTGGCATGAATTTGAGCAACACACACACACACACACACACACGCACGCACGCACGCACGCACGCACGCACGCCCTGTAAATGAATGTAATATTTTAAAGTCACGATTTGGGATCAGTTACAAGATATGTCCATTGAAAAGGACAAAGTGTGAAACAGTGGCTCTAACATGCTAATACCCTGTATAAAACCTCTGGGGAAGAACGCTATGCCGCCTTTCAGCAGCTGTTGTCTGTAGCTCTTCATTCGGGGGTGAGGCCCTGTGACATCTTCCCCTCCACTTTGGATTCCAGCTGATGTCCTTGTGCAGGTCTTGTTTAGGCAACCATGTTGTTAGGACTGCATGCAGCTTCCCTGTCACATACAGAAGTCGCCGTGTCAAAGCAGACATCCTAGTCCTCTGGCTCTTACAACATGTCTGCTCCTCCTTCTGTCCTTCCTTCATGTTCCCCGAGCCTTAGGTGTAAGGGCTGCGTTGTAGATCACATAATCTGTTTTAAAAGTTTTTTACATTTATTTATATTTTTAGAGGGGACCTGCACTCAGAGAGTTGGTTCTCTCTCTCTGCCATATTGGCTCTGGGGCTCAAACTCGGGTTGGCAGGCAGGCTTGGTACGAGCACCTTTACCCACTGATCCTTGTTGGCTGGTGTACAATCTTTTTAATGTGCTCGTTTGTTAGTATTATGCTAGGAGCTTTGCATTCATGTTCATTGAGAATTTTGACCAACAGTTTTCTGTTGCATCTTTGGCTTTGATATCACGGTTTTTTAGAGCTTTGGTGATTTATCTGTGGAGCCATCTGGTCCTGAGCTCTGTTGTACTGGGACACATTTTATCAGTGATTTAAATAGTGTCACTCATTGCTCTGTTCAGGTTTTCTGTGTCCTCATAGTTCAGTTTTGGTAGACTAACTGTTAAGAAATTTAGCTAATGTTGCAGGCTTTCCAGGGAATTGACACATAATTGGTGACAGTGGTTCCTACCACTGCACTAGTTTTAAGAACTGCCTTGTAGGAAACCAAATGGTGAAGAGAAAGGGAGTAGAAGACAGCTAGTTTTCACTGTGTACCTTTTCTATCATGTGCGTGTAATACCTATTCGGAACAGTTGAGGGCTCAGTCAGTGGGGTGCTCCCACACAAGTGTGAGGACCTGAGTTCGATCCCCAGAACCAGTGTGGTGCTGCTCACTGTAATCCAGTGCTGGTGAGGCAGACAGACAGGTGGCTCCTTGGGATTCCCTGGCCAGCCGGTCTAGCCTACGAGTGAGTTCCAGTGAGAGACTGTCTCAAAGCTAAGGGGGAAGGTGCTCCTGAGAAACTTTACTCATCGTTGACCTCTGGCTTCTGTGAACATGCGTACACACGTGTACCCATAGACACAAGAACAATTTAAATAATTTTAAAAGAGTAAATGTGTGCCGGGCGCACACCTTTAATCCCAGCACTCGGGAGGCAGAGGCAGGTGGATCTCTGTGAGTTCGAGGCCAGCCTGGTCTACAAAGCAAGTTCCAGGAAAGGCGCAAAGCTACACAGAGAAACCCTGTCTCGAAAAAACAAAACCAAACAAACAGAAAGAATAATTGTGTATGTATTCCTTTGCTTGCTGCTGGCAACCTTTGTTGAAGCAAAGGAGAGTTATTCTCATTTTCTCTCCCTCCCCCTTCCCCCCCTTCTTTCCTGCTCCTCTGCCTCTGCTTTGTTTTCTTGTTTTCGAGGATAGGGTCTCACTCTATAGCTCAGGCTGGCCTTGAACTCAAGACCCTCTGCCCCCACCTCTCAAGCACTAGTATTACAGAGGTGTGCTGGCTGCTATGCCTGGCTTTTCTTTCTCTCTTTTGCTGTCAACGGCCAAATGGGATTTTGTCCAGGTGGGTAGTGACCTGCCCCTCATGTTGGTGTTTGTGTGGCAGGTGTGTTGGGGGATTTTGTCCAGGTGGGTAGTGACCTGCCCCTCATGTTGGTGTTTGTGTGGCAGGTGTGTTGCGGGATTTTGTCCAGGTGGGTAGTGACCTGCCCCTCATGTTGGTGTTTGTGTGGCAGGTGTGTTGGGGGATTTTGTCCAGGTGGGTAGTGACCTGCCCCTCATGTTGGTGTTTGTGTGGCAGGTGTGTTGGGGGATTTTGTCCAGGTGGGTAGTGACCTGCCCCTCGTGTTGGTGTTTGTGTGGCAGGTGTGTTGGGGGATTTTGTCCAGGTGGGTAGTGACCTGCCCCTCATGTTGGTGTTTGTCTGGCAGGTGTGTTGCCACCAGGCGGATTACTGGCAGTTTGTGAAAGACATTCGGTGGCTGAGTCCGCCCTCAGCCCTTCATGTGGAGAAGGTAAGAGTGGAGGGAGAGCTGGCTTGCTGGGGTGTGGCTGCAAGTCCTCACTGGCATGCAGTTGCAAGAGTCTTTTCCCCCTGGGATGGAGTGCGTCCAGTTTCTTTTAACTGTAGGAAAGAGATTCTCTCTGTGGCACTGACTTAGAGGGAAGGTTAACCGACCAACCGTACAAGTCCATTATTCCAGGTTGCTTTTTCACCTCCTGGGAAACGGGTGGAAATGGTCTAATGGAACACTTTTAAAAAAGAAAACAACTAGGACAAATAGCAAGAATTTCCCTAAAGAAGTGAGGGGAGCCGGACGGCGGTGGCGCACGCCTTTAATCCCAGCATGTGGAGGCAGAGGCAGGCGGATCTCTGTGAGTTCGAGGCCAGCCTGCTCTACAGAGCGAGTTCCAGGACAGCCAAGGCTACCCAGAGAAACCCTGTCTCAGTTAAAAAGAAAAAGAGGTAAGGGAAGTGCGGCTGTCACAGCAGCTGTTGAAGACAGCGGCCAGAGTCCAGTGGACTGAACGCTGCCGTAAAAGCTCTGGCTGCTTTGGATTCCTGTGTCTCCAGCTCCACATAGTGCTCCAGGTTTCCAGTCAGGGGACCAGTTCGATGAAGTCAGGTGACGTGACCAAAGATACACAGCTGTTTCTAGACTAATCACTGACAGTCTTATGTATGCACTTAATTTTTATTGTAGGAAAATTAAATGCATCGAGATGCGATTAATGAAGTGACTCTAAGATATCCATCCATCATCCCCCTTTATTTCTCTTTGGCCTGTTGTTTCCTGGGCATCCCAGCTGTTGATTTATTGCTGAGATGAGGTCAAGAAGTACGCTTTTTCCCCCTAAACATTCAGAGACCAAAGCCACAGGGCTTCATCCCACCTTTCTGTGTATGAGGAAAGGTCAGAACCGGCTGTTTTCTTCACCTTCTCCTCTTCTCTTCTGTTTACTGAGGTGGAGTTTCACTAGGTAGCCTAGGCTGCCCTTGACCATGTGGTCACCCTTCCTTAGCTTCCCGTGCGCTGGGATTGACAGGTGTGTGCTGCCACACTTCAGATGTGGTGTGCAGCCTTTTCCCCTGAGGAGCTTGCTGTCATTGCTCTTGATGCATTTTGTGGTACTGGCCCTGGCTGTGAGACCTTGTCCTTAGAAACACTGAAGGAGGAGGAGGAGGTTCCGAAGAGAGACTGTTATGGCCACAACCAGAAGGAGTGTATAGGTGGCTTCTCTTAAGAGAATCTTTAGGCTGGAGAGCTGACTAAGTGGTTAAGAGCACTTGGTGCTCTTCTAGAGGATCCAGGTTCAATTCCCGGCACCCACATGGTGACTCACAACCATCTGTAACTCCAGTCCTCAGGCTCTGATGCCCTCTTCTGGCCTCTGCAGGTACTGCATCCATGTGGTGCACAAACTATATTCAGGCAAACACTCATGAACATTGAAAAAATTTCTCAAAAAAAATGTTTAAGTGAATCTTTGGTGGTCTACACAAGCCAAGACTTTTACCACATTTCTCTCCAGAGGCTCTGAAATAGAGGACTCTGTGAGAGAAGCCAAGAGGTCAAGCGCCTTCGAATCCTTCCTGTGACTCTCCTAGAGATACCTCTTTGGAGACAGAACGTAAAGAGCCGAGTTTAGCAGGCTTGCTTCTCCCGAGGTCTGGTAGAGAAGCCATCAGCTCTTCACTGTCCTCCTCCTGGATCTTCCGGAAGCTAGCTGGAGGCGACACCTAGGGTAGCCTTCCCTCACGTCTGGAGTGTCGTTTTCGGTCACTAGGCTGTACCTGCCAGGGTGTGTGTTCTGACTCCCGCCTCTCTGCCTCCCCAGTTCATCAACTTGCATGAGAATGGCCAGAGCAATGCTGCCGTGAGTGACCGGGCTGTGGCAGAGCTGTGGCTGCAGCACAGCCTGCAGTACCACTGCCTGTCAGCCCAGCTCCGGCCCCTGCTCGGGGACAGGCAGTACATCAGGAAATTCTACACAGGTAAGTGGCAGCTGCTCGGCTTTGTGCGTACTCCCTGTTGATCCCTCTCTCTGTCCCTCTGTGGATTGCTCTATACCAGGTCTCCGTAGCCAGCCATGCCAAGTTGTTCCTGTACCGATGCATGCAAACCGTAGGAAGAAACGCCATCAGCTGTCCTGTGTTCTCACTGTCCCACTGCCCTCTTTACAGCTGCTGCAGAGCTGGGCAGTAGGACCACTGTTTTCTAATCAGAGAGGCTAGGTGACTTGGCCAGGGTCACACAGAGCCAGGGTCTTTCTGGGCCTTTCTGATTTTGGAACTTCTTAGGTTAGACTGCATACAACCGAGGTTCTCCTATACTGTACTTGTCCCCACATCCTTTCTCTCCACAGTGACATGCTTTTCCTCAATTCCGTTGTATTCTCTTTCTCCAAGCTTCTCTCTTCATCACTGTGGTACGTTTTTTCTTCCTAGAAACTGCTTTCCTGCTAAGTGACGCCCACGTCACAGCCATGCTCCAGTGCCTGGAAGCAGTGGAACAGAACAATCCCCGTCTCCTGGCTCAGATCGATGCATCTATGGTAAAGGGGGCAAAGAATGACCCGTGTCTGTCCTGGGCCTCTGCACCTCACCGTGCCGTACACTCCTCAGCAGCCAATGACTTCCTTACTGAGGCGGTTGTGAGCTCAAAGACTTTCATTTGTAAAAAATGCTCGGAAAGAGCTGGGTGTGGTGAGACCTGACTCTTGTCTGAATCTGCTGTCTGTTACTGTAATAAAACACCCTGGCCTAAAGCAATGTGGGGAGGAAAGAGTTTATTTCATATCCTGAGTCACAGTCCATTGAGACCGGAACTCAGGGCAGGAATGTGATGCAGAGGCCATGGAGGAACGCTGCTTACTGGCTGCTCCCAGTAAGCAGCTTAACTGCTTGCTCAGCCTGTTTGCTTACAGAACCCAGGACCACCTGCCCAGGAATGGCACCACCCACAGTGGGCTGGGCCCTCCCCATAAATCATTAATCTACAGGCCAACTGGAGGGAGGCGTTTTCTCAATTGAGGTTCCCTCCTGCCAGATGACTCCAACTGTGTCAAGTTGGCAGGCACCTGTAATCCCAGCATTTGGGAGGTTGAGGCAGAAGGGTCAGAGTTTGAGGCCAGCCTGGACTATATAGTAAGTTTTAGGCTAGCTTAGACTATGAGATCCTAGCTTAAAAATGAAAAAAGGAAAGGGGAAGGGAGTAGAGGAGGATGGAAGGGAAAGGTGAACTGGTGGGCCCCAAGTTCCCTGAGAGACCCTGTCTCAGAAAGAAGGTGGTGAGAAGATGATGCCCAGGATCGACCTCTGGCCTGCACATGTCTGTGCGCAGATGAACACACAGGCACATGTATGAATGTGTGACCTACCTACAAAAGAACAAAGTGAGAAAAGAGGAAGTCGTTAGGGGCCAGGACTAGGCAGAGTAACTCACTGTTGTGATCCCAGCACTCGGCAGGCTAAGAGGCAGGAGGATAGACACAGGTTTGAGGTCAGGGAGGTTTCAGCGACATCATGAGTACCAGGCCAGCCCAGGTGACATAACAAGGCCCTGTCTACAAAGAAAAAAAGAAAAGTCACCGAACCACACACACACTTGTCTTCTCTCCCAAACTTGGGTCAGGTGCTTGTAAGTGACACGTATGACTTAGACCACCACTCTGTCTGACCTTTGACTCCACATGCATCGTTTTTGGTGTGTATGTATAACTAATCAGCTTGCCCCTGAGGTCCTCTGTCTGCTTCCCACGCAGGCTGCCATGCCCACCTGGAGTTTACACTGGTGTCGGTTCTGTGAACTCCAGGCCTCACGCTTGCCGAGCAAGTACACTTTACCCCCGGTCCTTCTTCCCAGCCTCCTGTGCATACTCTTAGGCTCTCTGCTGCACTACTTAGAGGAGCAAACATCCTGGAGGGATTCCAGTGCAGGCACTTCACAGTCTCGCTGGTGTGGGCTACGGTAGAGGGGGGCTGCGCTGCAGCCCCTGGCTCTGGTCGTCCAGGCCGACCGCCAACTACTAGCTCCTGTCAGCATTCTGCAGTAACGAGTGTCCATCCTCTGAGGGCCTCCATGCCTCATTCTGACGTGGTTTCTTTTGTTTTAGTTTGCCGGAAAGCACGAGAGCCCACTGCTGGTGACAAAGAGCCAGAGTCTGACAGCTCTGCCTGGTTCCACCTACACCCCTCCAGCCAGCTGTGCTCAGCAGTCCTGCTTCGGGTCCTCCTCTAACCTCCACCAAGCCATGCCCAGCCACAGCGCAGGCAAGGGGCGGGTGATGTGTACCTGCTGCATGTATTTTAGGCCGGGGAAGTACAGGACCTGTGAGTCCTCACAGGCCAGAACCTGCTTTTGTTAGTTAGTTTGTTTGTTTTTTAACCTCTCATCTTTTCTCTGTCTCTCTGTCTCTGTCTCTGTCTCTCTCTGTCTCTCTCTCTGTCTCTCTCATTTGTTCATTCTGTTCTGTTTGCTAAGGTAGAGTCTCACTGGGTAGCCCAGGCTGGTATGAGGGTGGGAATGGACAGTCCTTATACGTCTCTTCACATCTGGAAAGTAGAGAGCCTTTGTGAGAGTGACCACAGATTGGGACTTGAGGCTTGGGCTGGTATAAACTGGTATAAATGTCTTTGGAATAGGCATCATAAAAGATACACAGCAGCAGTTGCTTGATGTGGTGGAGCAGGGCTGTACTCCCAGTACAGAAGATAGAAGCACGAAGATGGTTACAAGTCCAGGGATATCCAGGGCCACACAGTGAGACCCTGCCTCACAGGACAAAACCGAGTTAGTCGGGGCTGGCCTAAACTAATTCTGTAGCATTACTGAAGAAACAGCAGAGACGTCCTTAGCGGCTCTTGAGCTTCTGCTGCACATCGTAAACGAGGTCTGCAGTTTCTGACATCTTTAGTGTGCCTGCACGGTGCTGGGCTCTGCTGGGATCATTTGATCTCTAAAGCAGTCCTGTGAGGTTGCTCTTCCCGATAGTTCTCTCATTTTGAAGCGGAGGGATTCATGCTGAGGAGCAGCGAAGCCACTACTAGCTCAAGTACCCATGCCCTCCTCACCTTAGCTGCTTCTAAGTCTCTGTTTTACCTGAATTGACTTAGCTTGTCTGAGTGACACGTGTACTGAGTGCCCTTACCGGGGACCTGTGTACATCCTGTCGATCCCCAGCTCACCTTCTCTCCCCTTCCCCCTTCTCGATATCCCAGAGAGAAGATCCACTTCCTTTTCACATTCTGGCTCTCCCTGGAAACCTCAAGAAGACAGAGACCTCCCCTCACCAGCCGAGAGTCAAACCGCCCAAGCTCCACTGCTTCCAGACTCGGCTCTAGCCCAGGATTCCCCACTGACCCCACATGAGATGAGTTCCAGCACTCTGACCAGCCCCATGGAGGCATCCTGGGTCAGCAGCCAAAATGACTCCCCAAGCGATGGCAGCGAGGGGCCCGAGTACCTGGCCATTGGCAACCCAGACGCGCACGGCCGGACCGCCAGCTGCCAGAGCCGCCACAGCAGCCATGGCTGCCAAAGCCACAGCAGCTCTCCCTTGTTCTCCTCCAGCAGCTCTCAGAGGCCGGAGTCTGCCGCCTCTTCTTTAGGGGACCAAGAGGCGGGGAGGCAGAGCCAGCCGGGCGGTGTCCTGCGCAGGTCCAGCTTCTCAGAAGGGCAGACGGTCGCCGGCGCCAGCGGCACAAAGAAGAGCCATATCCGCTCCCATTCGGATACCAACATTGCCTCCAGAGGAGCCACAGGTGACCATGAACACCAGCCCCTGGCTGGCAGGGTTGTGTCATCCCCTGAATTCAGGGCTGGAGGGAGGGCTTGCTCCTGAGGCTCTTCAGATAGCTGAGAAGAGCCATTTCTGGATGACATGTTACTCTGCTCTGTCACGAAAGACGTTTAGCATGTAGTATGAAGAAGACTAAGTAGTTGTGTGTATTCCTTTATACGATGCTACATACTAAATGCTTCCCTGATTTTTCCATAGTTCCTAGCATTAGAATAGCATGAGCATCGCAATTTATGTTTTAACTGAATCCCCAGATTTAAGCAAAGTATTAAAGAGGTTTACAGATAATCCTGTTAAATTCCTTTTGTTGTCATTCCTTAGAAGTTAGGTCAGGGGGAATGGAGAGATGGCTCAGAGGTTAAGAGCACACTGGCTGTTCTTCCAGAGGTCCTGAGTTCAATTCCCAGCAACCACATGGTGGCTCACAACCATCTATAATGAGATCTGGTGCCTTCTTTGGTGAGCAGGCAGAACACTGTACACATAATAAATAAATCTTTTAAAAAAAGAAGTTAAGTTATGATGTAATACTAAAGCAGAGTACTATTAGGGTTTCCTACTTGTAATAGGGATAATCATGAGTAGGATGGGTGGTGTGACCCTGGACCAAATAGATGGGGCGGCTGCTGCCATTAACTCAGACAAGGGCCATTCACCCTGTAGCCTCCCTCACAGAATGCTCGCTGGTAGCAGGGAGCAAACCTGGATGTGGACAAGCCGGGTCTTCCTGCTTCTGCACTGTGCTGCCACCGTCCTCCCTGGGCAGTTGGGGTCTCTAGGCTTTGCTTGGGTGTCATCTTAGTAGAATCTCCTTTATAACAAGTATAACACTATTTTTTTTTCTTAATGCTGTTATGAGTCAGAAAAACCCCAGATAGAAAATAGAAAAATAAAATAGAACGTACTTAATGAGACAAAATAGAGGAGATTTTCATGGGCCACTGGAGCTGCCCTTGTCTCTGTAATTTCCAGAAAGATGGGAACTCAAGACCTCAACTAAACCCTGGATAACAGACTTTCTTCTCTGTTTTCCTTCAAGAATTTAACATAACTTATTTGAACTCCTTAGGAGAAAATTTCCAGGTCAAAGCCTCTTCCATGAACTTTCTCACACGTAAAGAGTGTTGGGATTAGATCCTCAGCTCCCATGTACTGAGTGCCCGTGTCTGCTCTACACAACGAGGGCACTGGCCTTTGAGCATACAAAACTTCCCTGCTCCTTACATCCCAGTGTTTTTTTTTAAGTGATCTAGGGATTGAACCCAGGGCCTAATTCATGCTGGGCAAGAGCTCTCCAGAGCGACATTCCCAGCCTCCCTGGCTCCATTCTTGAATCTGTGTGGATTCCAGAAACCATGGTAACCTGCATGGGAAAAGGGAGCCAGAGAAGACCTGTGCAGAAGGGCTGAGCATGGGTCTTGTAGCTTCTTGTCACCCCTCCTGCAGCCCCGGCGCTCCCTCCTGGGAGTTCATGTCCCCGCTGCTGCCAGGTAACAGTCCCTGGGCTGGTTGGTTCTTTCCTCTCTCCTTCTCTCTCTAACCTTGTTTGTTCTGTCTGGATTCTCCTCTGCACCTGTGTGTTTATCTGCAGGAGGCCCCAGGAATATCACCATTATAGTTGAAGATCCCATTGCAGGTTTGGGAGCCAGTCCCCCACCTCTTCCTCCTTCTGTGCCTCTGTGACCACCTCGCTTAGTTCAAAACCTCCTTTTCCAGTCTGGTGTCAAATCAAGTCTGGCTAGTTTGGATCCTGTGGTGGTGCTGGGACCCGTCCGTAACAGGGCACTGCGGGTCGTGCCCCAAACATGCTTCCGCACGCCCTGCTCACTCTACCCAGCTTCTGGAAGCCATAGTCAAGAGAAAGCGATTCTGCTTTGCCCAAGGGTGAAGCTGAGGCCTGCTGTTCATCTGAGGCCTCTCGATGGGTCAGTGGCAGGGTGTTTCTTGCCTGAAGACTTACTGTGGATGCCTTTGTTTTCCTTGACTTAACACCAGAATGTCTTTCATTCCTTTCATGTGGTCTTGGATGTACTTGCATGATTTTTGCCTGTCCAAGAATCCCTGTTCCCTTTCCCCTTCACCAGCCTTCATTCCCTTGTGCCTCTGCATACTCCATCCTAGTCACTGAACATTGTTCTAGTAAGTCTGTTTTGTTGATTTATTCCCCCTCCTGGTGGTTTTCAAATTGAGATTTGTGTTCTGTTCTGAGTACTATAATGATGGCGTTATTAATGTGTGGGTATGTGTCAATAAAACCGTGGTGAGGGAGGCCTAGAGACCACAGCCTCCTAGTAATGGAGAAGTCACTGAGTGTGTTAGCTTTGAAAAGAGAAAATAAAAGAAGAAGAAAATCTGCAGACACTGAAGGAGAAGAAACACTGAGAGAAAATAGATTTTGAGTGAGTGAAAGGAAATGCTGAGTCAGTTGACTGGGCGCCCTTAGGAGTCAGTGACCTCAGTGCAGAAGCCCAGTGGCTTATGTAGTCGAAGAACACAGGGATGCTGTTACAGGTTATGAGATGTGCTGTCGGGCTAGGCATTGAAACAGTCTCTCCTGTTGTTTCTTACCAAGGTATCATGGTGATTGCTGGCTTTTCCTTAGCTTAGTGGACAGAGCAGAGCCTACTGCCAGAACCACAAGAACACAAAATCACTTTGTGTGTGTGTGTGTGTGTGTGTGTGTGTGTGTGTGTGTGTGTAGAGCAGCTGACATTTGGCATTATTTATGGTGGGGAAACGGTTGGATATGGTTTAGGCATCTGCTCTTCCCAAGCATATTGCTCACGTCTCAGGCATCTACTGCTTTTCTTAAAATGGCACTGGACATTTTTATTTACTTTTGAATATCAGTTTCTCATATCTTATGACCCCTTTGCCAACTTCCCCATCCCCTTGTTCTTGAGACTGGACTTAAGTTCACTGTGTAACTGGTCCTGGCCTCAAGACTCATTGTGATCCTCCTTTGCTCACTTCCGGGTGCTAGGATGACAGGCATGTGTCACCATGCTCAGCCTCAGCCTGCTCGTGAAGTCTCTCCTTTTCTCTGGTGACTAAATCCTTTGGTTTTGAAGCCGTTATCCTTGGCTTCTCCAGAACTGACTTGATGTTGCTTTTAAGCACTTTTCTGAGTTTCATTTTCATTAGTGAATGTAACTTTTCTGGGATAGTTTTAAAACATAGTGTCTCGGGGCTGGAGAGGCGGCTCAACGGTTAAGAGCACTGACTGCTCTTCCAGAGGACCAGGGTTTAATTCCCAGCACCCACATGGCAGCTCACAACTGTCTGTAACTCCAAGATCTAACACCCTCACACAGACCTGCATGCAGGCAAAATGCCAATGCACATAAAATAAAAATAAATAAATTTTAAAAAATTATCCTGTCTACCTTTAAAAAAAATAAATAAAAATAAAACAGTGTCTCAGGGTATTAGAAAAAGTTTATTGTAATTATTTTTATTTTATCATCTGAAACCAGGTGATTGTAGTTGGTGATGTAGTTTTCCTGTGTCCCGGCCGGCCGGTGGTCGAGACAAATCTCTCCCACTCGCGTCCCCCAAGTAAACACATATTAATTTTAACTGCTTGGCCATTTGCTCAGGCTTATTACTGACTAGCTCGTACACTTAAACTAATCCATAATTCTTATCTATGTTTAGCCATGTGGCTTGGTACCTTTTCTCAGTTCTGCCTTGTCATCTTGCTTCCTCTGTGTCTGGCTGGCGACTCCTGACTCAGCCTTCCTCTTCCCAGAATTCCCTGCGTCTGCTCATCCCGCCTATACTTCCTGCCTGGCTACTGGCCAATCAGCATTTTATTTATCAACCAGTGTACAAAAGCATTATCCCACAGCAGGTGATGGTGGCGCACGCCTTTAATCCCAGCACTTGGGAGGCAGAGGCAGGTGGATCTCTGTGAGTTCAAGGCCAGCCTGGTCTACAGAGAGAGTTCTAGGACAGTCAGGGCTACACAGAGAAACCCTGTCTTGAAAAAACAAACAAAGAATTAGTAGTTAGTTAGTACTTGTGTAACATTTGGTGAGAAAAGTAAACTAAATCCCATTCTGCCATGTGTTCTGTATTCTTGGACTGTTTGCCTTTGGTGTGCCTCCTCCTGCCTGTTCGGGAAGGCTTTGGAAATGAGAGCATTCAATGCTGAATTTAAGGGTTGGGAATGTATCTGTTGTTCGCACGCGCGTATGTGTGTTTTTATTTCCTGGTGTGGTCCCTGACACTAGACTCTTGCAATGACACATTGAATTTGAGAGGCCCCTTCCCCTCCTCTGGCCAGAGCTGCCTAGTCAACAAGCGCCCCCAGCTCCCTGTGCATGGAGTATGGTGAGTGAGCACCAGGAAGGCAAGGGCTGAAACTCTGTCTTGCTCTGCTTTCTCCTTGTGCCTGCTGGGCTCTGAGCCGTGGAGCTCAGCTTACTCTGTGGAGGACACTGTGTGCCCTCACCTGCCCTTCAACACTTCCACACTGAGAGTCCACTTCCTGTGGTCCTCACTGACTTAGAGTTCCCGCTCTCGTATGCTCTGGGTGCTCCTGTGTGTGACTGTTGTACCGTATGAGACGTAGCCTGAATGAGCGAAAGCCTTGACAGTGGGCCTTTGTGTAGTTCCTAGAAGACAAGTTCCACATGGGACCCGGTCACAGGTGAGAGCATCCCTGTCCTTTGTCAGTGCTCAGCACTGAGTTACTCCCCTTTTCCCATTTAGTGGGGTAGGAAGGACGGTCTGTTACCTATGACTTTAGATAGTAAAAAGATCTCTAGGATCTCTACATTTATCCTGTCTTTTTCCATCCAAGAGGTTTGGTGCTCTGCGACTCGTAAGAGCCTAAGTAATGCCATTAGAAGATAGACAGGCGTCTTCTCTCCAGTTTCTGGTCCCTGTTACCCAGGAAGACTGGAGAGCACCTCTAGCAGTAACATCGTCAGACTTCTTGAAGGAGCGTGGTTGTTACCGGTTTTCATTTTCAGTCAGAGATTTATATCCACCCTCCATCTCCCACAGAGGGTGGTCAGTACCTGTGCTCGGGAGAAGGCATGTTTCGAAGACCATCAGAAGGACAGTCCCTCATCAGTTACCTCTCCGAGCAAGACTTTGGCAGCTGTGCAGACCTGGAAAAGGTAAGGCCTCAGAGGGCAGATGAGGAGCTGGTGCAGCGAGGGCCCCGGCCCGATGGTGGTGCTGCCGTTGTTTTCACTGGTTCCGATGGCAGTGCCTGTGAGCTGCGGTGAAGTGCAGAGATCTCTGTCCAGGGAGCTCTTCAGGGAGCCTGTGCTTGTCATCGGTCAGTGCTGCCCTGTGCAGAGACATTGCATGTGAGCCACGCGGTTATTGTTCTTTGACTCTGGGACCTCACATAACTACTCTTTCCAGAGTCAAGTTCTCCGTTGATTCCTGGGCTCAAGTATGTATAAATAACCTCTGTACACTGGTCTCTTATCTTGGGACTACTGTGTGTACACTGGTCTCTTATCCTGGGACGTATTTACCGTACTACTGTGTGTATGGGTGTGTGACTCTGGGAAAAGAGTCTGTCTGGAATTCCTGGCATATTCTCTCCCTCGTTTCAAACATGATTGCCTGGCTTCATTAGCTTAATTAGTAGCAAAGAGTGAATTGTGTATCAGCAACATGTGAAAAGAGCTGCAGTGTCCAGTGGGCTTAAAAATAGTGGACACTTAACTTGATCCAGTCTGTAAACTACATTTTGTTGTTGTTTTTGAGGCAGGGTTTTACTATGCAGCCCAGGCTAGCCTCCTCAAATCTTAAGATTCTCCTGTCTCTGCCCTCTAAAGGGCTGAGATTACAGGTGTGGGACATCCTACCTGGCCTGAGTAATTTTTAAAACTTCAAGTTTTATCTTTAGAAGTTGATTTAGTTCAATTTTCTTCATTTTTAGAAGTCATGTAATCAGAATTCTTTAGGAGATCCAAAAGTATCTCCAAAGCTAATGATGTTTCAGTCTACACACTGGGCAGAGCTTCAGATAGTCAGGCCACGTGTGGCAGGTCTCAGTGGCACAGCATGTCCATGTGCAGCAGGTCTCAGTGACACAGCTTGTCCATGTGTGGCAGGTCTCAGTGGCACAACATGTCCACATGTGGCAGGTCTCAGTGGCATAGCGTGTCCATGTGCGGCAGGTCTCAGTGACACAGTGGTGCTGTCCACGTGCAGCAGATCTCAGTGACACAGCATGTCCACGTGCAGCAGGTCTCAGTGACATAGCATGTCGACGTGTGGCAGGTCTCAGTAACACAAAATGTCCACATGCAGTAGGTCTCAGTGGCACAGCGTGTCCACATGTGGCAGATCTCAGTGACACAGTGGTGCTGTCCACGTGCAGCAGATCTCAGTGACACAGCATGTCCACGTGGCAGGTCTCAGTGACACAGCATGTCCATGTGCAGCAGGTCTCAGTAATACAACATGTCCACATGCAGTAGGTCTCAGTGGCACAGCGTGTCCACGTGCGGCAGGTGTCAGTGACACAGCGTGTCCACATGTGGCAGGTCTCAGTGACATAGCATGTCCACGTGCGGCAGGTCTCAGTGACACAACATGTCCACATGCGGTAGGTCTCAGTGACATAGCATGTCCACGTGCAGCAGGTCTTAGTGGCACAGAGTGTCCACGTGCAGCAGGTCCACGTGCAGCAGGTCTTAGTGGCACAGAGTGTCCACGTGCAGCAGGTCCACGTGCAGCAGGTCTCAGTGACACAGCATGTCCATGTGCAGCAGGTCTCAGTGGCACAGAGTGTCCATGTGCAGCAGGTCTCAGTGACACAGCATGTCCACATGCGGCAGGTCTCAGTGACACAGCATGTCCACGTGTGGCAGGTCTCATTGGCACAGAGTGTCCACGTGCAGCAGGTCTTAGTGGTACAACAGTGCAGTGCTGTCATCTGCATTTTCTCAGTGGCTTGTAATGGTGGAAACATTTCCTGCCACACACCAACAGGCCTGTGAAGGCGTTCCGTGGTGTGTAAATACTCACTTCAGTGTAGGGATGTTTTACCCTACCCTCTTAAGGAACTAATGCTCTTTATCATCTGCTGTGGGGGTCTGAACCACAGCTTTCTCCAAGCAGCTCCTTTCCCACCAGTGTGCCCTGTGCTTGCAGTGTGATGACTTTTTTTAACCATCATTTCTTTCATTGCATTGAGTGGAAATGGGGCTGTGTAGGGGACTAAGGTTGGTACTGAGGTGATCTTGGGCTGACCAGCAAGAGCAAAGAGACTCTAGAACAGGCCGTCTGTCTGTCTGTCTGCTTTCCCCATAGCAGACCAGTGCATTTTCCCTGGTGGTTCCGGGTCTTAGAAGCTCTGCTTCCCCACATTGCATGCAGCAAGGTGTTCCGTACGTCCAGTCCCTTCACAAACAGCTTCCTCGGTGCCCCACTTCCTCCAGGAGAATGCCCACTTCAGCATCTCAGAGTCCTTGATTGCCGCCATCGAGCTGATGAAATGCAACATGATGAGCCAGTGTCTGGAAGAGGAGGAAGTGGAGGAGGAAGATCGAGACAGGGAGATCCAGGAACTGAAGCAGAAGATCCGCCTGCGGCGCCAGCAGATCCGCACCAAAAACTTGCTCCCTGCCTACCAGGAGACTGAGCATGGAAGTGAGTGTGCCTGTGAGCATCTGTGTGTGTGCCTCTTCACAGCGTCACAAAGCTCAGGGCCATGTGGGCTTTGGTCTCTGGTCTTCGTGTGAGGTGGTATGCCTAAGCTAAGGGTTCCTCTGCTGTCAGAAGGTAGTTCTGGGTGTTCTGTTCTTGTTTTTCCCATGTTTCCTACATCAGAAATAGCGTTCTTCCAAAATGGGTTTCTGAGGTGAGAACTAAGGCCAGGGGTCACAGATGGACTTCTCCAAAGTAGAGTGAACCAGCAAGAAGTCCAGTTCCACTCACAGCTTCAGTCCCAGCCATGGTTCTGCTCACTTTCCTCTGTTCAGGTCTAGGTTCTTTATTGTGGCATGGAGAGGGGGTGAGAAAACCTCGATCCTGTCTGTGATGATGATGGTGTTTAATATCACAGGCTTCCGGGTCACCTCCAGCAGCTCCCAGTTCAGTTCACGTGATTCTACACAGTTCTCGGACTCTGGCTCTGCTGATGATGTTGATGAGTTTGAAATCCAAGGTAAGATTTGGCAGTCTGTTACAGGGAGCTTTGGTTACTTGTTTCCTTTCATTAGGAATATTGGAAGAGTGACCCCAAAGTAGATCTTCATGACCCACTTTGGAACATGGTTAGTTATTGTAAGGATGGCTACTCCTGATAAAAACAGAGCCCTGTTAAAATTCACGCTGACATGAGCCTTGAAAGGAAGAGGGTGGTGGGCTGTTGAAGTCACCCTGATTTTCAGTCCTCCTGTGTTTATCTTTCTCTTGGGTCCTCACTCTCTCCCCCTCTAGCTCTTTGGGCTCAGCCAAACCACGTGAATTAGGGTGCTTCCCTGTGCTCCACAACACAGTTGAAATGGTTCCAAAAGATGTAAGAAGGAGTTTTATAGTAATTTGCAATTTGCCGGGAAGAGGGGGGATAAGAATCATTAAAGGAGAAGCAAAAAAGGGGGAAACAGTCAGGTTTACGAAGAAGAGCTTTAATTCCTGTCTTAGCAGCCTTAAGGCAGAGCCGCAGGCTCTGTCGGAAGCACCAGCGCAGTGAGGGGAGGGCTGCCTCTGGAGGGCATTTGTAGTAAAGCAGTTACGTTCCTTCTGCGTCACTAGATCCTCAGAAGGGATCTGACAGCAGACCAGTGAAAGTCTTAGGTCCAGCCTGGTGAGTCAGGGAGTCCCCTGGTTTGCTGACAGGCTGCATCACCAATAATAATAATAATAATAATAATAATAATAATAATAATAATAATAATAATAATAATGTCACACCAGCATGAGTGACAGCCTCCCAAGAGCTGCGTAGATGGAGTCCCGCCTTCACCTAATCTCCCACTTCCTGTGTAGTCTAGCACCTCCTGAGCCCACGTGCAGCGGGCACGGGCTTTACTCGAAGGTGGGGAAGGTGGGCAAGAGTGAACGAGCGTCTGATGATCTTCCATCCCGGTTTGTATGAAGGAATGTCAGTAGATTCCATCTGGGAGGGTCTCGTTGAGTTTAGCCGGGGATCAGCTGCCTTAATGTGGCAGTGGCTCCATCATGCTTGAGTGATACGCTTCACAGCAGCCCTATTCTGCAAACCATAGATTTCTTCAGGACCCCACAGAGAGACAAACTAGCAAGCACATAAGCAAAACGATTCAGGTAGAGAAACTCTTCCCCGTGGCAAAGCTGAGAATGATTTCCTCACCGAGCTGAGTTGTCTGCACCCACTCCGTTATAACACTGTAAATGATAACAAATAGATATTTTTATGATTTTAGTCTTCAGGGACCTCCTGAGGAGCCAGAGTGCTTTCCACTCAGAAATTCAGATTTTACACAACTTTTCCAGGCCCCTGGGAACTTTGCTCTTTGTTCTGAATGTGTTTGATTTCTGTTCCTGACAGTAATAGGAACTTAAAACTCCCAACCCCCCTAGTTTGTGTGCGTTTTTTTCTAACCATAATTCTCACCAAGTGCAGTCCTGTTGGAGACTGTTACTTCACTTGTGGGCCCCAAGGGTGTTTGCAATCAGCTAAGAACAGAAATTCTTAAAGGAGACAACCATAGGATGGGATTCCTCAGTCTTTAGGTCCCTGTCATCCTTTGTTGTGAGGGACTGCTTGAAGATTGAGATGCTTGCCATTATCTCCAGCCTCTACACACCAACTGCCATTAGCGTCCCCACTCCATACTCAGTAGTCAAAAGCATGACCAGATATTCCGAATGTCACCCTTAGCTGCTTCTTAGGAGGTGCTTGAGGCTGGGCTGGTTTGGGGAAGTAGCAGTAGCTGTTTTCCAAGCCCACCATGCATGTGGGTTCCTAAAAGCTGCACAGAAGTCACGGCCTGATCCCGAGGACGTGTGGTATGGAATTGTCGGTCTCAGCAACTTCCTCTCTAAAGGACCCTCTTTATAATTATTATTGCACAGATGGTAGAGAAGGCTCTAACCTGACTCACATGTCAAAGAGTGGACTCTCAGTGTCAGTGGCCTCCATGTTCTCAGGTAGCCGTGCTGGAAGTGTGGACGTGCTTCTACCTGCATGTGTGTGAATGTTTGTACCAGCTTTTGTACACGTTTGATCTTGGGACACTTGTCAAGGTTACGAGAACTCTGTGAACTAGAGAACTTACCAGAAAACACCAGACAATTCAGATGCCATTTTACATATGACTCAAGCTGTCCTTGCCATCTCCCCTCACAGTGATAATTTTAGATTAGGTAGTCATGTGACTGATGGGGTCAAAGTGTAGAAAGGAATAGTCAAAACTGGAAAAACAGTTCTGTCTTGGATATTGGTGGATAAGAGCATAAAATGTATTTCATACCGAGTAAGATTTAGTGTGAAGCTCCTCAGCTTACTTTTTGAATGCCTACTAACTGTATAGAAATTCACAGGAAAGGCTCCAAAGCTATACAGAGACCCTGTCTCAAAAAACAAACGAACAGACAAAAAAGAAATTCACTAAGTTGTATAGACTTTGGATCCGGTTAATTTCAGTTTTTGATGCTTGTATTTATTTGCAATTTTTGTTTGGTTGGTTGGTTGCTTTTTTTTGTTCTTTTTTTTGGGGGGGGGGTTGCTTTTGGGTTTTGTTTTTTTGAGACAGGATTTCTCTATGACAGTCCTGGCTGTCCTGGAACTCACTTTGTAGATCAGACTGTCCTTGAACTCACAGAGCTCTGCCTGTCTTTGCTTCCCGAGTGCTGGGATGAAAGATGTGCACCACCGCTGCCCAGTTTATTTGCAAGTTGGGTTTTTTTTTTTTATAATAAATGTTATATTAAAAAAGAAACGGCCAAGTCAGGTGGTGGTGGGGCATGCCTTTAATCCCAGAGCTCGGGAGGCAAAGGCATGCAGATCTCTGTGAGTTTGAGGCCAGCCTGGTCTACAGAGTGAGTTCCAGGAAAGGTGCAAAACTACACAGAAAAACCCTGTCTCGAAAAACAAACAAACAAACAAAGAAATGGCCAAATGAAGAATTTAAGTTCAGGGGCTGGAGAGATGGCTCAGCAGTTAAGAACACTTACTTCTCTTCCAGAGGATCCAGGTTCAGTTACTAAAAACCTTGCCAGGTGTCTCACAACCACCTGTAACTCCAGCTCTAGGGGCTCCAACATGTCTGGCCTCTGTGGGCTCTTACACACACACACACACACACACACACACACACACACACACACACACACACACACTTAAAAAAATAACAAAAATAAATTTGAAAAAAAGAATTTAAATTCAAGCCAGGTATGGTGATCCACACCTTTAATTCCAGCACTTGGCAGGTGGATTCCTGTGAGTTTGAGACCAACTGGTCTACATAGTGAGACTCTGTGTCAGAGAAAAATGAAAAAAAGAATTTAAGTTCAGGTGCTGGACAGAAGACTCAGCAGTTCAGAGGGGTTGTTGCTCTTCCAGACTGGAGCTCAGTTCCCAGCATGCACGCTGGGTAGTTCAGTTCCCAGCATGCACACTGGGCAGTTCAGTTCCCAGCATGCACACTGGGCAGCTCACAACCATCTGTAACTCCATCGTCAGGAGATCTGATACCCTCTTCTGACATCCTGCAGGCGAATTTAAGTTTAGAGCTGTAGCTTGGAACACCTGTAAACAGTAAACGTAAGACAGGATGGTATGAGGTTAAAAATTTCTTTCGAGTTTTGAATTTTCAAAGCAAACTCCCAGAAAGTAATCTCTTCTAGAGAACTTCATACACAATTAAGAGTTACTGCTATAATGTTTGACATTCAGGAAAATAGTCTGTAGGATTAACTGAAAGAGAATAAAAATTTTCTACTCAAAAAATTTTAAAACAAAAACTTGGAATTTTAATTACAAACTTTTAGTTTCATAATTAGAACTTTTAGTAATATTAACAGAAATGTTTACTACTGCTAATACTGTGATCCATTAGAATTTGAAATAATTATATAAGATTATACCAAGATTTAGAGAAATAAAGGTAACAAAATAATGAATTTCTCTTTGCTCTGCTTTTGAACTGTCTTTTCCATCAGAGCATATCATAAGGCATAAGTACTGTCACTTGGCTTTCTTAGAATCCTTCTCCCCCAATCTTGGGAGCCTTAAGAGTTCAGTGCACATGAGGCCAGCACAGTGGCTTGGTTGGCTGAAGGTACTTATTGCCAAGCCTGAAAACCCGAGTTTTATCCCCAGAACGCACATGATGAAAGGAGATGACTAACTCCTGCAGGTTTTTCTCAGTCTCCACCCATACACGATGGCACACAAGCACTCACACGTGAGTGCACACACTCTCTAAATAAATTCACTAGAGGTATAGAAAACGTATGCAGATTGTTTACAAACGCAGATGGGATGACACCAGACCACCAATAGATAATCTAAAACTATTCCAAGACCTATGTAAGTAACTGCAACCAAGATTACCATATCCAGAGAAGTTATCATTTAACATTCACGGAGCAGGACCAAAGTTTGGGTCCTTAAAACCCATGTAAAAGCCAGGCAGACATGATGGGAGGCAGAGGCTAGATTGCCAATAGCCGGATTTGGATTTAGCAAGACACCCTACCTAGTAAGTAAAGTAGAGAGTGACTGAGCGAGACACCCAGCATCGACTTGGGGCCTCCACATACATGTGCACACATACCTCACATGTAGACATCCATACACATTTGGACATGCATCACACACACACACACATACACACACACACACACACACACACACACACACACACACACACACACACACCAAAGAAACAATGCTCAGAGAAAAAAGAACTTCCAGGAAAAGCACAAACTAAAACAATGTATGGCCACCAAGCCAGCAGTACAGAAGCTACTTAGAGCCCTGCACAGGAGGAAGACAGTCCCAGACACGAAAGTTCACGAAGGGAATTGTTGGACAAAGGAGAGCGAGGGAAGAATTTCCAACCCAGCAAGCCCCTCATATGTAAAGGGGAAAAGGAAAAGAACAGACAGTACTTGAACTAACCAGGTAAACAATCGACAAGATCACAGAAATCATCAAGAAGCCCTCATTGGCTGCTG